TTCTAACTCGTACGTAAACTCTTTGTCGACTCTTCAAGATTCTTGATTGTGTATAGGTGAATCAAATTTTAGCAAAAAAAAGTAAAAAAATATATCTTGATTGCATACTTTTTGGATGTTATGTCTTTTACGTCCCGCTAACGATTTTTAAAATGTATAAATTTCGTGCTTGTCTTACCATACATCGTTTCTGTTCGAAGGCTGAGTTTACTTTACTAATAGAGAGAGGACCCAAGTCAATCGGTCAAGTGAAGTGAAAATTCATCTGGATCTTTTAATTTTAATTAAACCGAATTTAAAAGGAAAAAGACAAGTTGAATAATCTATCTTATCATCTTTAAGAAATTTCAAAAAATGTCATTTTTCAAGTGTTACTTTACAAAAATACCACACTTTTGAAATTTTTACAAAAATACAATTTTTCAAAATTATTTTTTCTTTATATCATCATTTATATTTGGGTTAATTATGTTCTATTAGACTTTAGTTATGAGGGTTTATGGGGTTTTAGGGGTCAAAACATTTTTTAGGCTTTAGAATTTTAAGATATAGGCTTTATAAATCTATAATTAATGGCATTTTTGCAAATAGACACCCTTCTTACAAATGTGCACACAAAAAATGGTATTTTTGTAATTTTATAAGAAGTACCAATTTTTCTTCGATATGGGACAGTCGCCGAAATTGTTGATTTTCGACCAATCTTTTACTTGTTTTCTCCTATGACAACAAAATATAACAATTCGACTACGATGTAATACCTAATTGGCTAATTTTCTTTTATCATTAGGGAGAATATTATTATCTTTTTTTTTACGTCAACACGTATTCAATACTGTTAAAAACTACTAAATGTTTTTTTTTGGTAACCAAAATTACTAAATGTTACAAAGAATTTTTTTGCATATACATTATAATTTTGGCTACGTTAATAAATTGGAGTACATTTTTATTTACTTCTGATGATGAACAAAATTTTTTTATTTTATTCTATCATTTATTACCAAAGAAAATTATATATGATAAAAATTCTTACAAAATTATTTAGTAATTTTATGATTTTTTACTTTTGGAGTTTAAATATTTTATAAGTATCATATTTTATATATAAATTATATATTAAACATATTTCAGTAGTTTTATGTTAAATTGTAATCGTATCCATA